CCCGCGCCCCGCCACGTGGAGGGCTGCGCCCCCTTCCCCCGGGGCCTCCGGAGCGGGGCGGTGCTTGGGCCCGGGCGGTGATAGGGGCCGGCCTGGAGTTCCGCACGGAGATCGGCCGGCAGGGGCGGTCCCGGGTCCCCGCGACGGCCTAGGCCACCGCTGGCGCTTGACAGGTGCGGAACCTGAGCGCGCGGGAGCGTCCCACCCCCGCAGCCTGCAGGGCACGGGGCGACCCCGGCCCTAAGGGTTTGGATACAGGTGCCAGGACCCCGAGTCTGCCCTCTGACCACCCGGACCTCGCAGGCCGGCTTGATCCTTTTGACCTAAATTTACCTCCGGGCTGCAGCGCGCGCCGTGCATGAAGAGTGCATGCTCCGGGCCCTCCCCTGGCTCAGCCCTGGGGCTGGTGCCCCTGTGTCACCCGGCTTTTGCCAAGGTTCTCCCCACCCCCTGGCTGCCCAGTTTAGGGGAACGGGGTGTTTTCACAGCTCTGCCAGCCTCCTTCCCGGGCTGCTCTCACTTGGAGATGAAGAGGTGGCACTTTGCAGAGGGATGGAGCTGGGGGTGGAGAACGTCGGAGGTGCCATGGGCAAAGAAGCAGCCTTCTGATCTGGGGGTGGGTCATGCCGCGCATTCATTACCCTAGATGCAACTTCCACCTTCCTCAGCCTGCGCTCTGATTTCTCCCAGTCCTGGAGTAGAAACTTCAGGTTCCCTGGGGCATTCACCATGTCTTTTGACTCCTTCCAACTCTGCCCCCACAGGACTGAGAGAGAGGAGGATGGCTCTGTGTGTGTCCCCACAGCTCCTTTGTTCTTTGGAAGTGGCAGGGGATGCACTGTTCCCAAGCCGCCCCGCAGAAACCGTGCACTTTCAGAATAGGTGGTGCGTAAGCAGTTCAGTTCACCACATCTTCCTTCTGTACGTTCAGCTGCTCTTAACCAGGGCGTCAAAGCGATCATTTGATGAGCCCCTGCCTTGGGTAATCGTAGTGACTCTTTCCAGCCATGCCGGGGGATAGAACCCAGTGGCAGGAACATGCTAAGCGCACCCTCTACCACTGAACCACACTCCCACCCCCTAATGAACATTTATTGAGCTCTTGCTATGTGGCAGATACTGTTTTGTTGCCTGAGTTATCTCATTTAAGGCTTAGCCTCCAAATCCTGTGTGTAGGAGGTTGAGGTTCCTAACACTCCTTCAGTATTGAAAGACTCAGAGAGGTTGGTTATCTCATCTGGGATCAGGCAGACCAGCAAGGCTTCCCTCACCTTCTTGGGGGCAGCCCAGGCCTGTTTACTAAGCAGCGTATGAGGACACAGATCTAAGGCGGTCCTGCAGTCGTGTCTGAACCCAGGCCTGTCTTTAAAACCCCCCAGTTGTCGGTGGGCTAATAAGGATGCCGTCGTTCTCAGGGGGGCAGTCCCACCCTCCTGGCGGGCATTTGGAAATGTGTGGGAGTGACTTTTGGTTTATCAAAACGAGACAAAACACTCTTGGCGTTTAGTGGGCAGGAGCTAGGGAGTGCCAATGGTCCTGTAAGAATGTCTCTACCCTAAATGCCAGTAGGGACTCGATGAGAAAAATGCCATAAGCCTCGAGTGCTGGAGAAATGGAGAGATACCCGCCAGGGGCATTCTGGAGAATCTGTTCTGATGCGAGTGTACCCCAGAGGCTTCCTGAAGGGGGCATCGTCTGTGCCAAGCTGGAGAGGGGAAGGGGTAGGTAGAGGGAATGGAAGGGGGCCCAACTCCACAGAGGGAGCTTGTGCATTGGATGTAGACAGTGCCTAGGGCTGCCATCTGGGAAGGGACAGCTGGGTGGGGCAGGCCACACTTCTGCTCCAGGTCTTCCCGCTGGGAACCTAGCGTGGCCAGTCACCCTCCTGCGGAAGGGCTTGGATTGGCAGCTACTCGGCCACTCGGGAGCTCTTTTCCTTGGCCATGCCTCCTTCTGGTGGCTCCAGGGTCTTGTGGATCTCGTTTCTTCCCACTATCCTGGGGATTGGGGCACATGCTCTATCACATTGCTCCTTTGAGTCGGAGTCTTGGATTAGTAGGCAAGAGAGCCCCAAGGTGGCTTCATGCGGGTGCCTTTCTGATCACACCCGTGCGTCTTCCTTGGAAGGTGAGGGATTTCTCTTTGAAAATTGACTTCTCAGACGGGATGTGGCTCGGTTGGTGCTTGCCTGGTACCCATGAAACCCTTGGATCGGTCCCTGGCGGTCCGTCTAGAAGCTGGGTGTGGTGGTGCCTGCCTGTGATCCCAGCACTCGTGAGGCAGAATGGAAGCTAGATCAGAAGTTCAAGGTCGGGCTCACCTGCATAGCAAGTTGGAGGTCTGCCTGGGCTACGTGAGACCCTGTCTCAAGATAAATTAAGTGAATAAATAATAGACTTCAGGTGGTTTGTTGATAGGCATTGGTAAGGGTTTTGTTTTTTGTGTTGCTAGCAAGCCCTCCACAAGTTACATCCCCAACCCTTAAAAAAAAAATCAAAGTGGAGTTCCCTCCTGCTGCGTTTAGGACACTGATGGTGGGTGGTGTGCATCTCTCTCCTCCACCTAGTTTCAGAGCACTTGCATTGCCTCAAAAGGAAGTCCTGTATCTAATAAACAGTCCCTCCCGCCCTGTTCCCAGTATTCCTCCTCCAGGCTCAGGCACCGCACATCTGCCGTCCCTAGGATTAGTGTGCTGTGGCCACGTCCTATGAGTTGCATCTTATGGAACAGGTGGTCTTTTGTGTACGGCTTCACTCAGTGTCAGGTCTTCTAGGCTTCATCCCTTTTTATGGCTGAATAATATTCCATGGTCTGAGTGGACTACATTCGGTTCATTTACCTAACGATGGACGTTTGTATTGTTTCTAGTATAAGGCTTCTCTGTCTTTCCTCTTTCTGGGAGACGGGGTCTCATTAGGTAGCCCAGTCTGGTCTTCATCTCTTGGTCTTCCTGTCTCTGCCTCCTGCATGTGCACGCCACCAGGCCTGGCTGATTTTCTTTTTTTCATTTATAGAACATTTTAAGCAGAGAGAAATGCCTTAGTTTTGTTTTGTTTCATTCGTCTGGACTGGCTTGTATTTCTGAAGGCAGGAAGGAGGCCCTGGGCGTGACAGGAACTGGTCAGGGTGCTGCCCTTTACTCAGCCTGGCTCTGCAACCTCCATCCCCCGTTTGGGGGCTCTGGGAACAGAGGTTGTACTCTGGGGAGCTGAGGGGCGCTGGGCCTGGCTGCCTATGGGAGCCTCTGAGCTGTTGCGGAGTCCTGTGGAACAGATGAACTCTATTCCAGCATACGTCTCCCTTTTGGAAAGGGAGGGAAGGAAAAAGAGAAGATTCTGTTGTGCCCCCACACCCACCCCATCCTGAAAGCTGCACAGGGACTATTTTTGTGTGCCTCTTTTTATCCTGGTGGCTGTAAATAGTTGAGAGATGGCGGTTACAGAGATAAATATGCTAATTCCAACCTGGAAAGGAAAGATGGATGATCCCACAGGAAGTGGGGGTGAGGAGGGGAGGCCAGGATCTTGCCCTCTGCCCTGAGAGGCTTGCACAGGAGGTGGAGCGGGGCGGGGGGGGGGGGGGGGGGGGGAGGAGGTCAAAGTGCTTCTGTTAGGAAACACTTGAAGGGAGGGAGTGGTTAGATAAGGGGGCAAGGCCGGGGCACCTTCCCGTCCCTGGTTTGTTTTTTGTTTGTTTGTTTGTTTGTTTGTTTGTTTTTTTGAGCACGGTTTCTTTCCATAGCCCTGGCTGTCCAGGAGCTCACTCTGTAGCCCAGGCTGACCTCGGACTCAGAGATCCGCCTGCCTCTGCCTCCCGAGTGCTGGCATTTAGCTGCCTCCCTGCCCAGCTCTGTTGTGTTTTTAAATGTACACCGGAACAAGCTAGTGGTGGCACACGCCTTAATCCCAGCACTCCGGAGGCAGAGGCAGGCGGATCTCTGTGAGTTCGAGGCCAGCCTGGTGTACAGAGTGAGTTCCGGGAGAGCCAGGACTGTTTCACAGAGAAACATTGTCTTGAAAAAACAAAATAATAATAATAATAATAATAATAATAATAATAATAATAATAATAATAAAGTACATTGGAATATTACCTTCTAAGCATCTGACAAAGAGAGATTGCCTTTAGGTTCATCTCAGACCTCGATACCCATTCTGGGTCCAGGTGTCGGGGACAGGTGGTCCTATACACCTGGTTTCCAGCCTTGTCCCTGCTTGCGGGGGGCATGTCTACTGGAGGAGGCCGGAGAAGGACGGAGGTGGATTAAACCGTCTCTAGACAAGCAGGGATGAGGGAGGGAGAGAGGTGTGGGTGGGTGAGACAGGGATGCCTGTGGTGCCAAGCTGGGGCTCCCACCCCTGATTGGTCAGGCTGTGCATCCATGGAGCAGATCTCTTCCTTCCCCTGACAGATTGAAATTTGCCTCAGTGGAAGACCAGAAGGGAGTCGGAAAAGGAATAAGAGCTTCTGCTTCTCACCTCAAGTTCCGCTTCCCCGAAACACTCACCGTAGTACTCACTCACGTGTTTGTCCTTTCCTGTCTCTTCAAGGCCTTCAAAGCCTGACCACAGATAGGACTGTCCTGTTCTCTCAATGATATGTGACCCATCAGATCCCTAAAAGTGGCCCAGCAGGGACTCAGAAACTCCTTGGTCATTCAGGGTCTCGGTCTCGGTCCCTGGGCTGCAAAGGTCTGGACCTCTGGCTCTAGTCTGTGCCCAGCTACGGAGCTTGCTGGCCTGTCTTGACTCACCCGCCCTGGCTTTTAGCATCCCTACCTGCAGACACCACCCCCGGCCACTGAAGCAGTGGGCAGTGAGTCAACTCCTACAATATGTCAGTTTGGATGTGAAATTATATTCACCTTTTTTTTTTTTTAAATTTAGTAACAAATGATGCCTTGGATTACAGCTAACGTGGAAGGTGGAAAAAGTTTTAGTTATCATGGTGAGATTAGAAATTCTGATTTGAAGCCTTAGTGGTGGTGGCGCATGCCTTTAATCCCAGCATTCAGGAGGCAGAGGCAGGCAGATCCCTGTGAGTTCGAGGCCAGCCTGGTCTACAGAGTGAGTTCCAGGACAGCCAGGGCTACACAGAGAAACCCTGTCTTCAAACAAACAAACAAAATGAATGAAGTTCAACTTTGAGGCTGATCGTGGTGGTGCACGTCTTT